CCGCGCTGCCGGCTCCTCGCCGCCCCTCCCGCCGCGCGCCGTCTCCTCCCGCCATGGCCCGGGCCCCGGGGCCCGCCGCCCACCGCCCGCCGCCCCTCGCGCCCCAGGGGCTCAGCTGATCCTGAATTGGCGGGGTGGGGGGGAGCGGCTGGCGGGGCCGGGGGTCCCCCTCGAATTCCGGCTTCGGGGGGGCACGCGGCGTCCCCGCGCCTCTAACCTGGACGACCCCCCGCTGCCCTGCCAAGTCCATGCCAAGGTAGGTGGGGGTGGGGGGAAGGGAGGGAGGGCTCCGCTCCGAGGCCAGTTTCTTGGCGCGTCGGGTGCTTTCTTTACTGGGGCGTTTGTTTATTTCTGGGGACCGGTCCCCCCCCCCCCTCCCCGGACACACGCGTGCCCATCAGGTCGGCCCCCATCCCGTGCTTTCGGGCAGGTGCCTTGGGAGGAAGGACGGGAAACTTTGACCGGTTCCTTCTCCAAGGCCACGAAAGTTCTCTCGGTGCCAATGCTGAAGCCGGCTGAGCCAGCGCTGCAGAAATTTATTCAACAAGTCAGGCTGCCGGCCGCGGGGTTGGGGGTGGGGGGTGGCGGCGGTCTGTGTCTGTCTGTCCCGCGGCCCCTCGGTCGCTGCGGCTCTGCAACCAGCTGGACCAGAGCTGGTGTCAGTGTCCAGAGGGCTGAGCTGGGAGTATTGGCAGAGGGAGAGTAGCAGGAGGGGGATTGAATGGGGGAATCCCAGGCAGGCGTTAACTTTCCTGGAGGCCAAGGTGGTAGTGGGCCCCCTCCCAGGGCAGCACCCCCCCAGGGGGCTACTCAAGGCTTCATTGCATGAAGCCAGGCCAGGGGTTGGAGCGGGGACTCTTGGGGGTAAAAGGAATCCTCAGCAGGTTGGGGCTGGTTATATAATGAGTGTTTATGATGATTGGGTTTTAATTGTCTGCTGGCTGGTGTGTGTGGAGGATGTGGGGGCCAAGAGGCCTTGGCAGGGGGTGGGAAGGCCTCCTGGGGGGGCATGATGCCTGGGGGAGGGGGCTTTCGGATGGGCCCAGGCTGAGGCATCAGTCAGCTGCTCTGCTTGTGTCTTTCTCTTCCTTCAGGGTCCTGGGGGTTCTGAGCTGTGGGTTAGGTTGGCATGTGGGGAGACCCCTGAGCTAGATTCTGGCCCTGGGAGTCTGGGTTCTGGGTCTAGGTGTGTGTGTGTGTGTGTGTGTGTGTGTGTGTGTGTGTGAGAGAGAGAGAGAGAGAGAGAGAGAGAGATTGAGAGCGAGAAAGCTTGCTTGCGTCTCTTGCCTCTATGGTGTGATGGGGTCTGACACGCCATGTGAGGAATGTCCTAAGGCTGGAGTGCTCAGGGTGGCCTGAGCAGGGACCCAGTCTATCCTTCCGTCTCCCACCGCCCTGAGGATTTGCCCGGCAGATAACGGCCACCACCTGGGAGCTAGGATGCCGTGCAGACAGGGATGTGGTGTCCATGGGCTGGGCCCGTGGGAAAGGGTCTGGCTGAGGAGATCAGGCCTGCTTCCCAAGACTGCAGTCCTCGTGCCCTGCTCACGCTGTCAGGTCACCTCTTGGATCAGTATTTCCCCTCAGCACCAAGGACTGGCTCTGGAAACTCTTGTCCACCCTTCAGGATAAACTTTTTGTTCAGACTCCAGGACCTGGGCTGGGCTGGGGACAGGGTGGGGAGTCTAGCTACCTCCCTTGCTGCCTCTACCGTCAAGGCTGAGCCAGAGGGAGGGGATGCCAGTGGGTGACAGGGTAGGGCGACACTGAGTGGGGACCAATTCTGAGGCTGCAGTGGGGGGGGGGGTGGGGAGGAAAGGGAGGAGGGAGGAGCACGTCCTGGGGGGGGTGGGGCTGAGCTGGTCTGACACCAAATTCATGAAGCCCCGTGCGCCCTGGAGGTGCTGCCCTCCCTCCCCAGCTGCTCAGAGCAACCCAGCCCTGCCCCTGGGCACCAGGAGGGTCAGCTCTGGGGAGGGGCTGCAGGCCTGGCAGAAGTACCACCCCCGCAATCTCTTTCCTGTCCACCTCATTCGGGGTGCTTCTGAGAGGGTGTCTTCTAGGCCCACCAGGGGGCATCACGCAGCAGTTCCTGAGTCCCTGTGCCCTGACTCCCCTTGACCTTGGGTGCGGAGGTGGGGGCAGAGGTTGCTGTGAGAACGGCTCTTCTCTCACTGTCACCGGCGCCAGATGGCCTCCCCCGGACAGCCCACAGCCAAGGCGTCTTAGGGACCGCTGTGATCGTAGCTCCTCTGTGTCCTGGACCCCGCGCCACACCCTCAGCGCTGGGCGTCGCTACCTGTGACTCTCCCAGTCCCCTTCGTCATGCCCCCTGCGCTGCCGTTTCTGCCACCCTCACCTCACACCCCAAGTGGGACTCCCCTGGGCCTCAGCCCTCCCAGGAAAGTCTGTTTCTGGATACCACTCGGCTCTCCCCCACCCTGGAAGGGCTCCCGCCCCCAGGCAGCTTCTGAGTGCTTTCCAAGGTAACAAACAGGCTCTTGTGAGGCTCCCCTCCGCTGCCTTGTTCTCTGAGTGCCCAGCCCCCAGCTCAGGGTGCTCAAACGCCACGTCTGCAAAGATGGGATGCCAGGCTGGGTGTGGGGGTCCAGGGAGACCCCACCGGGCTGCACGGTCCTCCTTCCCTCTTCTCCATCTCTTGTCCTCCTTCCTGTTTCCTTTCTTGTCCTCCCTCCCCCACTGCTCCTTTCAGACCCCTTCCCTCCCTCCACTTCTTTTCTGCAGCATGTTTTCTTCCACACACATGTTCCCAAGATCTGCTCTTGCCTTGTGCCCTCAACCCTTGCGCCCACAGTCCAGGGAGGTGTGGGTGTGTGGTCTGTGTTCATGCTCCGTGATCCGTGGTCTGTGGATCTCGGTAACTGCGTGTGTGTGGGGGGCTGTGGGGCTGTAGGTCCATGGGTCCGAGGATCCGTAAACCTGTGGGTGTATGTGTCTGTGAATCTGTGGATATGTGGATTTTTGGACTCGTGGGTCTGTAGGTCCGTGGGCCTGTGGATCCTGATATCCAGGAAGATGTGGGCTGAGTCTCTCTTCCTCACGGCTGCCAGTGTAAGGCAGGAAGAAAACAAATCGGATTTCCTTTTCTCTCTTGTATTTATTAAGCACCTACTATGTGCCAAAACCTGTTCTGGTTACTGGGGGACCTAGCAGTGAACAAAAGGGAGCAGACAAAACCTGCCCTCTTGGAGCTTCTGTGCCCCCGAGAGGGGGCCTGGGGCCTCCCCTGTGCCAGGTGCTGTGTGGGCATATGGCTACAGGGCCTGGGTTTCTCTTGTGCCCTTGGAGGGGAGAACAAGGCTGTGTTTGGTACGTAGGCGGTGCAGATTGTGGAGGGCTTGAAAGCACAAGGTGTTTGGATGTCCTTGAACAAGTGTGGGGGGCTTCAGAGGCTCGTTGGGCAGGAGAGGATAAGAGGGAAGTAGTTTCTCCAGGATGGAGGCCATGGTCTTTTGGGGCTGGAATTTGGCACAGACCTGAACCTGCCTCACGGACCTTCTCCCTTCATCGCAGATGCCCTGCCTCTGCCAGCTCCCCCTTTTCCTGCACTCTGGCCATGATGGTCTCACTGATGATGCATTTGTTAAAGTTTATTTATTTTGAGAGAGAGAGAGAGAGAGCGCACGCAGTGGAGGGGCAGAGAGAGAGGGAGAAAGAGAATCCCAAGCAGGCTCCACGCTGTCAGTGCAGAGCCCGACGTGGGGCTCGACCTCATGAACCGTGAGATCACGACAAGATCAAGAGTTGGACGCTTAATCGACCGAGCCACCCAGGCGTCTCCACTGATGGTGATGCATTTTAAGAAGAATATCAGGCTTTTCTCTCTCCTTGCCACTGACTGCTGACCCTGATGAGCAGTGAGGGCCATAGGCAGCTCTCTGTCGGTCCAGGGACTTAGGCCTCCTCCCTGGATCACTCGACTCTTGTCCTCGGGTGGGGGCGGGCGCGAAGGGGGAGAGACACGAGCAAGTTCACAGTCATGGGGTTGGCCCAGAGGGGCAAGGCACTTAGCATTACGGGGGAATCAGCTTCTTGTACAAGTGGGACAGTACCTATCACCTTAAAGGGTTTTTGTGAGGCTTAGGAGTGTGTCTGCTGTGCCTAGCGTGGGGCCACACGCTGTCCTCCTTCCCCATTTGCTGTCCCTTTAGTGAGGTAGAGAAGGAATCACGTTTTGCATTTTATACAAGAGGAAATGAAGCTTGGGGAGACTGTGTGTTGTAACAAGAGTAGAGCTGGGACCCGAACCTGGGTCCTGAGACTCCTGATCCAGTGCTCTTCCTACTAGAACAGCCTCCCTGTCTCCAGGGACCACATTCACCCTCGTTTTTTTAGCTGAAGTAAGACCCAAGGCCCTAATTACTGCAGAAGGAGTAAAAAATGATCAGCAGAGTCGCCTGCTGGGAAATGTTCAAACACACGGATGGAGATTCAAATACAGCTTCACTTGCTGGCACTTGCCATAAGGCTGATAGCTGACAAACAAGTGACAGTGTCTAGTGACAGACGTGTGGACAGGTAGTGGTGGGGGGGGGGGGAACGTTGGCAGGCTGCTATGTCCTGTCCACTGCCTGGCCTGCCTGGATGACCTTTTACTGGTAACATGGATTTGGGCCTTCCAGATCCAAATCCTAGCTCTTTCACTCAGTGGCTCTTGACCCTGGGGACATCCCTTAAACTCTGTGCCTCAGTTTCCTTACCTAGCTAGTGGAGAGAACAAAAACACTTACCTCGCTGGATCGTAACCGGGTGCCTGGCATACAGTAAGTGCTCAACAAACAACGTTGGCTATGACTCTTGTTAGCTGCCCATGGGAGGGCAGTCTGATTCAGTTCATTGAACGCCGCAGAGCTAAGAGGCCCAGCTGTTGATTTTGGTGACGGGACCGACATGATTGCGGCGTGTGCAGGCTCAGCTGGCCAGACTAGAGCAAGTTCCGTGTCAGGTCGTGCACTTGGGGGCCATCCTGGAGCCATTCGTCTTTAGGCTAGAGGAGACTTGCCTTGGCCGCGGTTCCCCTGAAGAAGATCTGAGGAGACCAGTGGACCGCATGCACCAGAGATGCCCCTGTCTGACTGGGTTGCCAGTCAGGCGCTGGGGCTCCCAGGCTGCATCGAGAGAGGGCCCCACTGCAGGATCAGGCAGGTGCCCTCTCTGCTCTACTCTGGGTTTTTTGGTTCGGCCCTTGCAGGGGAAAGTGGGCAGACATAAGTCTGACGGGGGATGGGTCCCAAG